TGGTGATGAGGAGTACCTCACTACCTTTGAGATCGAAGCGACAAAGACATGTATCTCTTATCCCTGGTCGACTGTGGGTCTTTAAATGAGTTTATTTAAATCCAGTAGCTAGAGTATCGAAGAATCAGGTTGTTGAGCGCAATGCTTCTTCAAAGAGGATGACGGTGCACATTGCAACAGGCGTTTACTTATATGAAGCAAAATGTAGTGCAAATTCACTATTGGTAAGAAACAAGAAGCACGATGAGGATTTCATCGCACCAAATTTGGTGACAGATCCGATACCATCCTTGGTTTACAATGGGGCAAAAGGTACGATGCATGGGATGGCTGACAGCGTCGGTACGTTCATGTGCCTGCTTCTTGGTAATCCGATGGTCATTAGATGAGCTTCTTGGACCATTAACAAACGTGTGAATATATAACGAGTGTGTTCGATATCCTTGATTGTGGTTCGGTCATTCTCACGACTTTACAAGATATCAGTGTAGTTTACCACTAACTTTTGGCGAGAGCCTCTAGCGGCTGTGTCGAGACACATTTAGCGTCGAGAGTTCACCACCAGAATAAGTTGATTGGACCCGTTCATGTATGCACGCCTAGTGGGTAGCCTTCAAGAACAAAGACAACTATACCTAGGCGCGGCAACATATTAATCCTAGGCCCATTTAAATGGTATACCGTCGATCAACGGGTGGCAGCATTGCTAACCCATCTACAATATGTTAGAGGAATAAGTCCCTGCGTGCTGAAGGTATAAATTCTTCAGATAATTATTTCAAAGAAAATAATCTCAGAAACCTGAAGAAATATTTTGAGGATATGAACAAGAAATTTAATGTCTTGGTTGAGGATTGGTCACGCATTGGCGCTTATTTTGCTTGACTTGATAGCGCCTCTAAAGTGTCTTCGAAAAAAACTCAGCTGATAACTGTGGTGTGAGATTTTTTAGTGTAATATTTCTACCTTTTGATTAATTATGGGAGTGAGGAAGTTGAAGAAAAAACCCGGATGGCACTGACATCGATGATTCAAGACTCGACAATCAAGACACAACGAGGGAGTCCTTGACGATAAAAGTATCGACGAAGGAAGACTCGACGAGCAAAGACTGGACGAGGGAGGACTCGTCGAGCCACAACTCGACGAGACAAGATTTGACGAGAAAGCAAGATAAAGGCTGGTCCACCCCCCTTAGTATTAGCATAGGCCGTCAAGGGGGATGAAGGAGAACCACTAAATAGTCCTTCTGCAATCAGGTACGGAACAGGAGATATTTAATACAAAGCGGAATTTCCCAAGTCTAAGACACGTGTGCACTGTTGGGGTAAGTCCCTGCGTGGGCTGGATTATGCCTGCTGTCGAGCCTCGAGGAGTATAGTTTGTAAAGGTCTCGATTGGAAGCGCCAAGAGTTTAATCGTCCCGGGGTAGGCAGTACTCGCTTGCAGTGACACACCAGTCGTGTCGCACGGCGAGCCGGTGACCAGTAGACGGCAGCTCTTTACAGTCTCGTCGCACGGCGAGGCGGTGACCTAGTAGACGGTACCGCTTCAAGACTCGCAAAATGGCGAGCCAGTGACCCAATAGACAGCACTATCCAAAAAGTCTTCGAGCGACGAGCCGGTGTGTTGCTAACCAAGGAAACAGTAAGACTTCTAGTCGGGCTTATACTGCGCCCGGTTACCTGTAAAAGTGTGTTAAAGCGACTATGTAAATTCGCTGTAGAGGAACTGATCGTATTCCCGTTATGTCCGAGCCAGTTAACGGTTGGCTGCCTGGTCCCACATCTGGTAAGATCGCGTCCATTGGACAGTCAGACTAAAATGGATATCAGATCGGGCAGGTTGGGACCTGCGATTTGAGTTCAAGGTATGAGGCGATAGGTAACGTTAGCGATCAGTCGATCAAAAGGGTACCGCGGACAGCAAGGAGATCGAGATCGTGATTAGTGATCGAGATCGTGATCAGTGATCAGGTATGTGATCGAGATCAAGTATGTGATCGTGATCAGGTTGGTGTGCAGAACATCATGTGATCCACGATCAGCAATGCGATCGCGATCAGGAAACGATCGAGATCGTGATCAGTGATCAGGTATATGATCGCGATCAGACAAGCATATCAGGTGTGGGCCACGCAAGTACAAGATCGCTACCGTTTAGAGAGAGCGACATGTGGCAAATAATGTCTAAGACACGGGATAGGGATATGGTTGTTACGTTTAATTGGTTAACATTGAACAGAGTTCAATTTGCTTCAAAGTACACGTGTCGACTTATCCTCCGGATGGATCATTGGCCACCCGACGTCAAGGAAAGGTTCACATACTTTAATAATTGATATCCCTGGATTGTTTGGCCAGGGATCAGGATCTCTCAAACATCACCCCAACTGCGACTGGACGCAGGAAACCCTTTGTGGTTGAGGACCCAAGATCGCGAGGCGGCTCAAGTGGTAAGAAGGCTCGCGAATCATGGTCTACATTTGGACAAGGCGATCTATTATCGATCAGGGTGACTCATATCGAGCACTCCACAAGCATACAAGTGATCGCGTGACGAATTTTACGTGATCACACCAACCCCGATCGTGATGTGAAGATTTCCACACCGTGATCGAACCTCGACCCCATCGCAAACACGGTCAAGTTTTCCATTGACACGAGTCCACCTGGAAGAGTGCAACTTAGTCCACCTACGGGTACACAAGGTGGGAAAGGCAATCAAGAATACGAAATCTAATTACCCCTTCGTTAGTCGGTCGTCTGGTCGCCAGTGGAGAGTTGGGATCGACTCCTCAAAAGAGCGATCACCACTCCACCATGACCTTGTGCAGCTAGAAACTCTACATTTTCAGGGCCTACGGCCGCGGTCAGCTTATTTAGCGCGACCTTTTGGTCCTCAGAGAGGGTTGTGGATTACGCCATCCTCACAGAGGATTAGTCGTTACCGACTCAGGCGTAAATTGACTACAAGTGCTACAAGTGTAGCGGAGCTACACCTCTTTTAATTCAGAGGAAGATTTTAACGCTCAACGAGCAGCTTAAGGTTAAATGAACCCGACTCAGAGAGTCAACAAGCTCAGAGAGCTTGAGGTTTGGCTCAGAGAACACGACTTGAAGAGTCAAATAGATCCGAGAGCTTAAGGTTTGGTTCAGAGAATCCGACTCAAAGAATCAACAAGATCAGAGAGCTTACGGTCCCTGTTGTCCTCAAACGATCACAAGACGCTTTAGAGAGGCACGTATCTATTGTAACAAAATGGGAACTGAACTTTATTTCTTTTTTTAACCTAAAAGAACACCTTAGAACATCGTAATTAACCTACTCGCTAATGTCCTATATAAAACCTCTCAAAAGATCTCGTAATCAATGGTTGACAGACATCAGTCTTCAACAATTGATACTGTGTCCTAATATCACTTTAATGGCTGACCCAACCCTTGTGTGCACCACACCCATTGTCGACTACCAGTCGACATCTAACCCCGGTACAGGCTATATAGTCGCACTAAGTCGTTGTACTGTTTGCGTTACATCACAGCCCTCAAAATCGCTTGAACGGAGGTGATTTACGGGTTCTGGACATTGCGTTAGAGTTCAGGGAAGCCAAGGCATACGTACTAGCCAGCATTTCAAGCTGACCCCAGACTCTAGAATCCATTGCCTTGTTCGCAAACGTACGGTTCTTGACCCTCGATTATATCGTCAATTTGTTTCGGTCGCTAGTAAGAAGGGAAAGAGAGACCAGCAATGTGAGGTATTGACGAGTAGTGTACTCCGAAGCGCAACGGCTTGTTGCGCATGCATAAAACATGAGAATCTAGCAACAATGTATCGCCAGCATCGATGACTCACCGTGCGTGACAATGTTATCTACGTTGTGTGTCTCGGGCTCCTACTCTTCGTTAGTAACAGCCATGAAGCAGGAGGCGCTGTGACGAAGCACACATCCGAGTCACGACGCTCAACTTTGTCATTCATGATGGAGATTGACACAGAATCTGCACATCCGTCGTCCCATTTCGGATGCATACCAATTCCTAGCGGTGTCATCAAAGTGTGGGCATTGTTTGCTTAACCTGCACTGCTCTGCGTTGCGTTGGTACGGATACAGAGCTTATTCCACCTGCACGGACCGAAAAGCCAGACAGAAAAGAATACCGCGACAACGCTACTTGAACTAGTCGAGTGGCAGCTCCTGCAAATCCTTGCATGGCTGAGCTTCGTGATCTGGATAAAATAGCTAAATTGCTCATCGTCACCACGAAACATCTGAACTCAATACACTTACTGCTGCAAACCATACACTTCTTTACCTTCTAGCCGCATCTCTCGGAAAGCAAATTCCACGACATGCCGGCGGAGAAGTCGCGACTGACATCGCATTCCTTGCAGAAGCGAAGCTTGTTTGTCTCAGGTCACCGATAGATCAGTGATGGACTGTACACCATTGCAAGATCGCTCGCTACGGAGTCGCAAATTGGGAACTTACGATGCGTGGTAGAGCTGCGACTTATCCTTCCGAAAGCGCTGCCGTGGGCAAACGTGACTACTAACAAACGCCATCTACTACTTGACGGTCAAAAAACGGCAGTGTCACAAGTGTACGTCCGTGCAGAACTGCACCTATCTGCTGCTCGATAAGTTCACTCGTAGAAGCTTTATGTTCGCTTTTGACACGTCCAACACGTCGATATGGCGCACTCTTCAAGCGCAACTATTGACATCAAATGCTGCCTTTATGCCTTTACTGCATTAATCTGCAGCAGCTCGACGCTCGCTCGACGTTCAAAATCGAGGACAAATAGTCCCAAGGCGCAGTTTTTACTCGAGTGGACGCTATAAAGAGGAACAATGGATCAACGAGAAGGTAATGCAATCATCAAATGCACTGGTGTATTGTCCCACGCATGTCAACGTCCTACCAATTGCTCTGCAATAGTTCCAAGTGTGCGCTGTCACTATCAGGAAGACAGTCCAGAGCGCACTGCAAGTCACTACAATGTGGGTGATGGAGAGTCGGAATGCAAGTCTACATCTCCTTTCTCGTACAGACTTTTGTATGTCTCGTAGAATCTAGACTCCTTTGAGAGCCTACCACCGACAGCAGCTCCGGATGGACGTGCGTCTGTGAGTTCTAGCGCTCGCTTAACTATACTAGGGTCCGGGCCCATGCGTAAAAGTTCATCCAGCTCCATCCCTCGCACCAATCGCCCCCTGAGATACGCAACTATCTCCTCAACCTGGTCCTCCCTCAAAGGGTTCTTCGCAGCATGTCGATAGTACGCCTCGACGTAGCTGAAGTAGATTTTGACATTCTTCTTCATCTCCTCACTGGTGTAAGCCGTGGGATAGCGCACAGATGGTATGCCAAGCGCCCGTTGAACTACTACGGGTTTTAGGCCCATTTCGGCAAGCTCCTCGACCGTCGCCCCTTTGTCCAATCGTCTTTTGGTACGCCAAGCTTGTAAGTCATACAGCTTATCCTGCACCTTGGCATTGAAAGACTCAATGACCGCCTCAGTTACGTATCGCACCGCGCCATACCACTCCCGCAGCTTGACTGTCCCTTTCCCGTACACGCCTTTCATCGCTTGCATGGACAGCTTGGACTTCAGACCGGCGAGACTTTCCTTCAGCTTCGTTCCAATCTCCGACGCACCTCTTTCTTCTCCGGCAATTCGACGACGGACACCATCCGCTCGTAGAGAAAACTGCTTGTCCGTCATTCCGGACAGCGCGTCGTACCTCAGGTCCGGGGATGTCACGTCATCCAGCTTTTCGGTCACCGGAGCCAGACGGGCACCACTGCCAGCAGACACGACGACGGCCAACACGAGGAGTAGGGTCCACCTGGCCATTGGGGCTCACAGTACAAGCAGTCGGTAGCGACGGCGACGACAACGAAAAAAAGAAGGAGGAGGAGGAGAGTGTTCTGAAAACTTGGGGGTGGCGCGAGCACTGCTGAAGTAGAAATGAGGAGTGAAAAGAGGTCTTCGTGCACTTGGTAGGTGAGCAGGTGGTGAACGCGCCATCATGACGTAAAGCTCGTGCAGGATATTTACTCCCACAAGGCCTTGAATCTGCCCATTGATTTCTGGTCCATTCGTTCCGTAGGAACGATCTAACGCTCGGACAAAGCCGTAGAGAAGATGCTGCGGACCTGTGTGCACTTTCCTCGACCAAGCATAGCCAGTACGTGCAATCCTACTGTGTTCCAGAGGTCGAAAAGTTTACAGCAGGACCTCTATTAGCTCATACAATTAGGCAGATAAACAAATATTAGGTAATAAGAGATACTAGGTAAGAGGGGCTGGGTTATCACGTATTTTACCTTTCTTGCCCAACGTCGGGCCGGAGACTTTTGATTAACAACAAGAGGTTATTAGGTACTAAGGCATTAGCTATGAGGGGTCCTCTGTCGAAAAATGCAGGACGAAAAAACAGACGATTCGTTGGCACGAGACAGCGATTCCGAAGGGCTCAATATCCGGACCTTTTCTTTCGAGTACATAATGAACCCTACATCATTGGAGAGCAGGCAGTGCGAGCCGGTGTCCGACCAGCATGGTCTGGCGTGTGTCACAGACTGTTTCGGATATGGCAACATCTTGTCAACTGAGGATCCTAAATACACGTCCTTTTATGACGACTGCACAAAATTTGGACATGTCAGTTCGGGGAGCGATTGCCAAAATCGTCGTCTTGGCCATAAAAACGAAGCACGAAGTCAGCTCGTGCAAACCTCGTTGTTGCATGCATGTTCTTACAATTATTCGACGGGAGAAGTGGACCTCAGTGGTCGAGCTCACAAGTCTTAGCTTTGCTCGCAAGCGGTGTCCCAACCGTCAACTCTATCATAGTTTATCTGTTCGATTTTCCCACCCATCGATTCGCCATGCCTAACCACTTCTGCAAGGCTTCGGGAGGGCTCCTTGCTTGTGTGCTGAATCCGCAGTTCCAAGGCATCGTTAATGAGGTTGTGTTGCTTCAGGTTGTGATGCTTCAAGTACTTTGGATCGAGCTTTACCACCATCGTCTTTCCTTGGCCACACAGAGTACGCATCTTCGGATCGCATCTACGATACCTTCGTCGTATGGAGCCTGCCATCATCGTGACCAGATAGTGGGCATCCTGTGTACCTTGGGCAATTCAAGTGTCTTCCTGCGTCTCTCTCGTCGCGTCTACTAACTACCGGCGATGTTACCAATCTCGTTCCTGTTCGTACCCTGTGCTGTAAGGTCGGGTGCTCACTCTGAGTGTTCCTTTATCGCCATTACGGTCCAAAGTGCTTGCCTTCCACCTGGGGCTCGACCACCTTCGCCGTGGCAGACCACTACTATATCTACTGTTGTACGTAGTACATCGTTCACGAATCTACATCAAAATACAACCGCACTCATAAGGAAGAGGATGCTGGAGGCTGCGTCACCTGTGATAGCTGCGCGGCCGTATAATCCTTAGCGTGCATTAAGTTTCGCAAATGCTGAGCATTACGCACGCAATAATGCTGCTGAAAAGGCTTTGATATTGATGCGTAGATACACGGTCGGCTCTTGTACGTGCTGCTAATCTACAACCTACATTGTCGCTTCTTTTAATTACTTGTAGGTTGATAGAAAACTATAGCCCAGAGTGATGAATGAGTACCACTCCTACTAGCGATTTTGATCCGTAACCTTACAATCCTACTAATCGAAAGGTTACAGATTCAACATTGCCTCGAGCAAACACGCACACAGACCCAGTAATTATGGTGACAATGCAGAGACCAACGATTGCAGACTTTCTTCAGTGACAAAGAATATACCTAGCGGGCCGGTTCGCCAGCAGGCCAAGCACAATGGGCGCTTATCTGCTTGATCAGATTTCGCTTCCGTAGCATAAGCGAAATCACGCAATTGCCAACTTGATAAAAAAAATGCTGTATACTATCATCGTTTGATCTACAAACTGGCAAAGTCAGGTCCATCTGCGTACTCGTCGCAGAGTACGAGGGCGTTGCTAGTATTTGTTAGACATGGCAATTTGTGAGAACATGCGGGTTCTTAGCACTTCGCGTATAGACGAAAGTATCATCAATAAGAAAGCTGGAGCGATGCACGTTGACAGAAGGAGTCGTGACAGGCAGATTCTATGTATGCGGGTGTTGTAATTGCTGTAACACTTGTATTGACTACCTAGCTACCAATCACACTGTCATTATCGACATCAATGACTGTAGGTTGCTTCAGTCGAAATATTACGTGTACGATAATGTGCCGAGGAAGCGCGGTCAGTTGGAAAAAAAGACATGCTCGATCGAACGGAAATCTGAATATACTACAAAAGACATGTGCAATATATTCTACAAGCACTCACGACATTATAAATTATGCACCACGGATGAAAAACGAGTTTGACATACACCACATTACTACAAAAATGATGATGTACAGATATATGCTATACCTCCGTCATCAAACATGTCGAGGATCATTAAATATGTCGATTTTATTGTTGATGCTCACACAAATGTCGCCGCTGATTACTAAAGAAAACTATAATTGATTTGGTAATGTCCGATTCGTCGTTTGCATCCACTTCTCGCATTGTTATGCGTCACAAAAGGTGTTGACAAGCTAGCCCTGTGGGACACCATACAAACGTCTACGATACAAGTGCTTTTTTCTTGTGCATGAACGCAGTAAAAAAACGACTATGTGCTGAATGTAGCGTAATGAAGTGTCCGTATGCTGTACTACATGTCGATGGGTGACGGGCGGACCAAGGTGTCTACGCTTGCGTTCAGGATGTCATCCATTTCAGATATCAACAATGCTTCCGAATGCACAGCTCCCCCAGCCTGCCGATCATCCGCTATCATCAACAATATACCACCAGTATTAGCGTCTTCTTTTGTGACGACAAAAGATATTATCGACACCGCGCGCCCTCATAGCGTGTCCCCCCCCGCCCTAAGTGTCCTCAACCAGTTGCATTGCCATTGGCAACAGCACCAATAATGTCTGTTAGCTTGCCAGGGTAATGTCTGCTCTTGCTGTATTTGTTCAATTGTCGCCTTATGCTGCCTAAGTCGCTCTGTGAACTTCTTTTACATCGTTGTGAGGCGTAAATCTAATGCTGCGCTGCCTCGTCAGCGTAAATTGAAGTGTTGAAAACGACAGCTACACGTTGTTGCAATGTCAAATATATATGACTTGGATTGAAAAGGTAGAACAGAAGCACTTTTACACGAGAACGATGAGCAACACTCTAAGGCTACGCTTGTAGCGTCAGCGCACATGTTCCTTCTTGCAATGCAACTGGCGTTTATGAAAAGTGTAATAGTATCCAATGAATAAAATGAGAAAGGGTAAAGAGGAAGGACATGTGTGAAAGAACATGAATGACGAATAGGTTGTTTGCACATTCGGCCGAACAGCGAACGTGGGTGGTGCATGTTAAACTTTCTGTTTATCTCATAAATGGTTTTACAAAAGCTGTAGCGATATGTACATATTCGAGATTTTCGGTGGATCTATTTCAAGGTTTTATTATATTTTTAGCTTTGATGTAATATTTGACTATCATTATTTAAGAGTAGCAGATATGTATGCTGACTTTTTACTCACCGAGAATGCTCGCATCTTGCATTAACTGGCAGTTTTGCTAGCTGACATTATGGCCAGTATTAGTCAATGAGTAATGAATTGTTCACCCCTGCCGATTGTAGCCTTGAATGAGAAACATCCTTATCAACAGTTTGGGCTAACATTGCTGACTATCATATGGTAATATAAGATAACGTTGGCTCTCAAGTTAATGTAGCGATGACGTAGAGATACTTCTCAACTTACATCACCCCTCTTCCAATCCAATAGTCGCGTTCTTGACTGAGATGACAATTACTTACAACAATGAGTCCGCACTGCTGAAGGGTATTAGATCGATTTATTCCAAGTCAAGGGTAACGTACGATTTAGTGCGGCGCGCAGAATTCGCACAGCCGCGTCTGCATGGCTACGTGCAGGTGCGGCTAAGGATATAGCCACAACATATGTTAACGATTCGTACTGCGGTGGTGCATCACAGACTACTATGTGAGAACTCGCAGGTCTACTTAGTGATGCACGACGCAACGGTAATTACCCGGATTACACCTCAATAACTTGGACAGTCGGATAACACGTCTATGTTGACGCCTCTAGCAACGGTTTTCATTATAAAATAAACGGACGTTCTCCTTACCAAAGAGTCTCGCCGTGGTAGTCTGAGTGATAAGTAGCTCCGCGGCATCATTGGGTCGTCTGACGAGTCAGACAAATCACCTTCAGGTCTGGTTGCTCGAGTTTTCGAGAGTGCGACGAAGGCGATGGCTAGCGTGATGATGAAGGCGACGTGAACTGCTCCATCTAGAGATCGGACTGATAGTAAAATGTATAATGCTAGTTTCACTCATCCATCGCACAGGTTGTACATGTGCCAGACGGTTCTGTGTCTCTTTACTGAGGACTATACGTGGATGATTTAACAGCTGCAATTCAAGTGTTAGTCTAGAATGACCAGCAATCGCGATCTCATTCAATCACTTACTTGGTCAAGGCTTATGCACCTTAACGCAAGTGCAAAGACCTTTTGCATTGTTTATGATGTTTATACAGATGGTCTCTTTAGAAATCGATGGTGCAGTGGTCGGTAACTAAGACCGAGTTAATTAGGTCTGTATTATATCACCCGTAATGTAAAGGCCATTCGACAGAATTTTGGATGAGCAGATTCACCGTTGTGCACGATAGATTGAAGGCAAGATGTGCGTCCGGTCAACGGTACAAATGGCACTGATTGTCAAGAGAGACTTGGATGTACATTATTTGGGGTGAGGCTGTTCAAGGCGTAAGTCATTGCGTTCAAGGGAGGCATTTAATCCCTAAAAGGACGCGCATGTTTTGTGAGATGTAAAAAGACGTTGATGATTTTGAACGCCTTTTTGCGCATTGGAAGCTTGTTTTTCAATTGATGTGCTTGACCATCCGAGTCTTGTTGTTTGTCGTACTTTCTGACAAGACCAACGACCATAGTCAACGGCTGGGACGAAGTCTTTTTTATTCGCCGCGAGCTGATACCCGCGCCTTTCACAGAGGCAGATCGCCGGTATTTCCGCACGGTGTCTGGTATCACATCAAATGTTACACACGGAAACCCGACCACCTTAAGGTACTTTAACATATACGAAGTGATATAAGCCTACTTGTACCTACTGACCCGTCGAGGATGCTCGAGAAACATAATCTAATAATGCCCAACGCGTAATGGAAGCGACGATATTGACAATAAGTGACAAGAGCGTCACCACGTGACTTGCAATGAGGAAATGGAATCGCAGCGAACGGGAATCTGACCGGCTCATCTCGCCTTTACACATCGAGAAAACGAGCGGGTGCAACGCCCTCTTTGTAATGAGCTAGCGACGGTTCTTCAAGAAATCTATCGACTTAATGTAGTCATCTCGTTACTAACCGACCAGGTCGCAAGTATGGTTCGTGACCAGAAATGTCAGCTCGAAATTGTAGAACGTGATAGCTGTCTTCATCGTTTCAAGAAAATAAGTGCTTATTGTGCGTAAAAAGACCTATCACGAGAAATGTTGAATGCGTGCCTATTCAACGCGACAGCAAGGCTATACGTGCGTTGTATAGTCGGCTGAAACACGATTGCGTGACTGGAAAAGATCGGGAGATGCATGCACGTCGTCACTATTCGTTTGAAAAGGTAAATGTAAAAAATACAGCTCATTTCTCCTCGCTTTGACCAGCGTTTTCCTTTCGTTTATGTCGCCGTTTCGTTTCTGGTTTCTTACCTCATCCATCATGGATTATCGAGCAAAATGGACGGTCGCTACTTGAACATGTACGATTAATCGGCAGATACGCTGCTTTGTAAGTTCGACATACTAACACCGCACCTATATACGTACTTCTTATGATACAACAAAAGTGCTGACGTATACAACATTTGCATATAAACACTTGGTCGCCGCTCTAACACTACTAATATTCCTCGGTGCTGATAGAAGTGTTGTCGGAGTCTTTATGCTTCGCCGCATTATGATTGATCATCAAATCTGTTTACGTTTGATGAATGACCCTTTGTAAACTAGTTTTGCGCCCCGATAAGATGAAAGTGCGCGATGACACACGCTATCACCTCAAAGGTGATTCGCGGTGTACTTATGCGACGAGATATTGAGGGCAAATAGCACAGCCATAGGACATTCTTTCATTTTGCAAAAAGGTATCACACAATCTTAAGTATCTGTTCGAAGACGCAACCCGCGGGAACGTGTATTCATGCATTTCGTTGTAGTCAAATAGTCAAATGTAAACGCTTGACTACAACGAGATGTATAAATATACTCGAGTTCGAAAGAACGAAACGCGCATTCATATAACGCTGCGGTAGAGCTAAATTCTGTTCAGAATACGGTCATACGGGCAAAAACATGGAATCGAGAGACGAGGTCGATAAATACACGCGCGCTCTCGGCCGTGATCGATTCTGGCGCAAATCAAGCCGGGGCATCTTGCTGAGCCGGTCTGTAGACACAAAGGAATCATGCTTTTATGGGTCGATCTGTAGATTGCCAAAGGCGCTGTCCATGTAGATGAACTCCCATCCTTTTTCGGCAGTGGTACAAATTTTTATGGTGATTGTAGAGAAGGAGTACACTAAACTTGATGACACACCTCGCAAGTCTGTGTAATATGGCATGAAGGTATGAGCCAGGGCCACTGCTTTCTCAGTCAAGACCATTTCAAGGATCATACAATCGCGCTATTCATTCGAATTCCAATTTATTATAAACACTATTTGGACGAAGTGCGCATCACATTGTACATGTGATCGACTCGCGGGATCCGACGGCTAGTCGCTATCACTGAAACGGGCACGAACATGTTAGTCGAATGTAAGGTGGACGGACATGTATTGATCACACTTCGTCGTGTTAGTTACTTTTGTTCGACCCTGTATTAACTATAGCTATGCAAACATGAACTGTAACTATTGGTTCACCGCCCACCATCCTTCATCGGACGCTTAGTCGGTTGATACAACGGCTTCTATCGGCCCAACCAGCACAACGCACTAAATGTTACATCATGACGTAACATCCAAGAATGTCATCCGCAAAGAGAATATTCGCATTGATATTTCTGATGTCAATGTCGCGTAATGGCTCCCCCCGTCTCTCTCATTGTATGCTTGTAAGACAATTCCCAGCTACTTTGTTTCTGGCTTTTTCGCACGCATACGCGTAATTGCGCTTTCAGCAACGAGACTGACAACTAGAGACGGCCTGCACGATATTTTCACTTGCAAGCACTTTTTCCATGGTACCACAGCCTTGTGCGGTCGTAGAAGCCGCCAGCTCTACGCCAGCGGTCCTTCTAGCAACGTGTCGATCAAATTGTACACACTACATCCATGTCGATGGACTGTGTTACCACGATACAGAAGAACACGAGCGGAATATTCAGTAAAGTTTGACGCTTGAGATGTGAGGCAGTAAAAGGCTTAGGGCGGTACGACGGTCGGCATCGCATGAGTGCGCGTGTTCTCATACGAAAAAGCTTTAGGTGCGTTATTACATGTCAATGTCAATCCTTGACATGAAGCGCTAGACGTGAGCGGACGTGGCGGCGAGCAGCGTATCGACCAACTTTTCCAGTACTTTGTAGGGAACAAAACAGGAGAGCACTAGCTGAGCAAGTCTGACTCGTTTTTCACTCCTCCTGAACGCCATAGTTTCTGCTCCACTCAGTCTAGAACCGCGACCGTCGAGGCGATCCTGCACTTTTCATCGCAACCTGCCCACGTGCCTCTCAAATAGCTTGTCCTGCGCTCTTCGCTCGTCTCCATGACGTGGTCGTCTACTGCAGCGTTTCCATCACGCTCTTCACGGGTGGCGGGTACAGCTTTGACACGACCATCTGACGGTGGAGCATGTCGGCTTGCTGGCGCGCAGCTTCGAGAGCGTGTTTCTGTTCCGTGCTGCCAGCTGCGAGCTTCGCGTTCGTGCGGAAGTCCTCCTTGATGCGGCGCACGGCGTAGTTGCGAAAGTTGTAATTCTAGACACAGATAGTCAGAATAGAGTTAGTGCGTCGAAGAATTGGGCACCACGAGGTCCGCTTCCGTCTCGACTCTCGTTTGGTCTCGAGGGCCTTTGAGACGGCATAGACCCCGCGTCGAAAGAGACGAATTCTAACGATGCGACACGCACCTCAAACTTGGAAGCGCCGCGCAGCATCTCGCGGTAGAGACGACGCACCGACGACGACAGGGGCGATGACGACAGGGGCGACATTCTGGTACTGGGGCTCTGCTGATCACTGGTCGGCTGGTTTGTCGCCTGGGCTTTTACCTAATTAAGGCTGAAGTGGCGGAATGGACGGAAGGAGAAGTAGCGGATGAGTCCTAATTTTACTCGTTTTTATTTGGCTTCTTCAGACTAAATTTGAGGGAACGGATGGTACCACTCAAGAGGATTAAAATGTTGTTGAATAAGCAATTTGACTTTGGAGCTCTCAAAGCTGAAAAAGGACTCTTTCCAGCCCCGAGACTCGACTTTTGGTGACAAGGAAAGCAGTGGCTTCGCTCGTAGGCACACCAGCAGATACATCTACCAGACGTGCTTCGTGCAAGTACAGAACTTCTTTGAGCTGGCTGTAATCGCTACAAGACGATCAACCCTTCTCGAACAGCGGACGCTATGCTTCTAATGCTAAGCCAACAAGCCATAAATGTGAACAAATGAGGTTGACTTGTGCCATCTGGCTGCTAGTCGAACTACCAGCGCAGCGGCTATTTAGGGTCTCGGTGAACGTCATGTTTAATCGATGAACGATGGTTTTTACTGATATACAACTTGTCGGAAGATGCTCTGCACGTGATCATCTCACTGGTTGTAGCAAGCAAGTGCTTATGATAGCATGTAATAATTGCGCTATTGCCATTTCAAAACCCTTTGCACCACATCTCACAACTTTACACCATAGATCTCGTGTGAAGGATTTCACAATTACTTCTGTAGGCCTTGACACTATCTTTGTAGCACGACACTATGTTTGTAGCACATCTTTGTAGCGCATAATGATGCCTCGATTGTTCAAATCTGTCATGTGCTATATGCTCGAGAAGAACGGTACTTTGAGTCGTAAATCAACACCAGGCATAGTTGAATCTGTGGTGACTAGTAAGGCGATGCATCTATCGAATCTGGTCCGTTGACTTTACGCCACGTATATCGACCTCCAACATCTATTGTACACTAGGGCTTCTACCAAGCTGGGAGTCACTAATTCAGTGCAGCTTACATGAATAACGGAGCACAGACTTCTCGTAAACGACGATGTATTATAATTTATATGTAGTTGTACGTGTAATGCCGTTTTCTCAGTCCCTTTTTGCAGACTGCTGCGCAGCCTCGACTTCCTGTATACCTTGTGCCGACTTGTGTTGCTTTTGCAGATAGGAACTGTTTTTTGGACCACATTGCATGCAATCACTTCCTTTTCTAGTATTTTGTCATGCCTGACGAAACGGTGTGATGAAGACGAGACTCAGCTTTGTTGAGGGCGAAAAGAAGTGGGTACTCCGTTCAGTAACTATTCGATACTCCCCAATTGACTGCCCTCTTTCGGTATCGAAATCGCGTCTTCTCGTTGGTTCTCGACACACAAACGATCGAGCCAGATGGTGCCGAGGTCTGTTAGCCCATTCATGTGTACCATCTAGATCATGCAGCGCACAATAAACGCAGAAAGCTCACTACCGCAAGCAAAAAAGGATCATTACCGATGCGAGTAGTAAATCTATCTGGTAACACTTTCGCCATACAAACTTGATCAGGACCGTAGTTCAAACTTAGCATCAAGAATCTAGACTGGCAATGCAGGCCGTAGTTGCAGCTCCTCAGTTACATGTATTGCTTTCGGAGGAACAAAAGCCACTTGTACACTATTTACAAGTATTGGCCTTCGCGATCGACGATGCATAAGCTCTTCATTTACAACGTGTCGTACATCCCATCGCTTCGCTCAGCTCAGCCTCATTTCTGACATCACTTACACCAGGAGGCACCTAAACTTGCTGAAGCAATAGAAATAGTGATAACGTGCTACATGTAAGCTGCTGAGTTTGCAAAAGTAAAGGGAGCATGTTGCACGTAACTTGCTCGGGTAGATTAAAAGTATCTTGTTTCAGTCGAAGACAAATCAATAAGTATCACGCGACAAGCCTTAAAATGTGGACAAAGTATATTTTATGCCACAACTACAACTTCGTGGCAATACGGCAGCTTCATAGTTTGCTCTCGAACAGTACGCGCTCGTAAGTTTATTGAACGTGCCGTTCCTAGAATTTAGCGCTATAGTTGTAAGTGCCGACAAGTTGACATCAATCACAAGAAAGGTAGCCTACGACTTGCTGTTTTGTGAACTTACAGGTACATGAGATAAAGGGCTCACATGAAATGAGTACCCGAAGCACTATTTGCAGTTCACGATACATCACGGTAGCGCAGGAAGAGCTTCAACGTTTGTTTTGTGGGCATTGTTGGATTCCGACTTTCCTACGTCAGTAATAGTTGTTTCGAATGTATTGGTCGGACGTGCGCCGATTTCGCGTGACCTCGTTTGCTAGCTGGTGATTCACATACAACGCCTGGAGTGCCTCCATCCGCGCTGCATTTAAGTGCAATGGCCGTCCACGACGCAGTCCAATGTCTTCTTCGCCAAACATGTCGAGGTAAGGAGACCCAAAAAAGGAACTGCGTGAACCGAACACCAAGAGTACTGAGGTCGATCGCATGAGGAAAAAAAGACCAACACCAGCGCCACATGCGATAGCGTGACGCGTGCAAGCGCCCATCCCGTCGCTACTTCGTCGACAGCACTCCATTCCGGCACACAAGACTTGTCCACATACAAGGCAGATCGATGGGCTTTCCATTCTCCTGCCTGTCTGCTTGCACTTGCTTTTGTCCAGCATTTCCGAGTGCAGGTCCGTGTACAAAGAGGCCAATTTCACCAACCGAATATGCGCGGCATAAAACCAGTTCTTTCCCAAGTGGATGTCTGGCTTCAGTCGCAATGGAAGTCCCGGCATTTTCGCCACATTGCTTCGTAAAATCAGCGCTTCTCTCTCAAAAGTGCCTTCCATCATTTCGCTTGAACTTAATCTCTTCAGGTCTGCAATGATCGGATCAGCGTGACCGTGATGTCTATAATGAAGCTGCAACTCTTCAGGAACCGCAGCACTGGTGGGACGGACTCGCAGCTCACGCGCTGCCCGCAAGAGGTATTCTACTAGTGCCTCGTCTGCCAACAACTGAGTGATGTGCGGCAATCCTATTTGCTGGCACATGTCGTTGTACTTTGTGCTGAGCCGCAGCGAACTCGAAAAGTTGGCGCTCCATGAAGCATCAGGGTCCTGTTCGCCTCTGAAAAGTGCACGGCATAAAAGCGTCACCTGCTGCATAAACGTCAGGCATGACGACTCGAACAGAAGCTCGAGCTGTCGGCCACGTGGAGCCGGGCCTTTGTGTACAACTACCGAGTCCCCTTCTTCGCATCCTCCTGTTGTGGTAACAGCAATGTCCATACCGGCCTCCTGTGCAAGACGTCGCATGAGGAGCTCCAACCCACGTTGCCGTTCATCCTGTTGCTCGGACGATAACTCGTCGGCCGCAGCAGTCCCTCCTCTTTCGGCTTCAACCTGCTCTTTCAGGCTATCGTTCTCGTCTTCAGCTTCCGATTGCGCAAGTTGGATGAGCACTTGTGCCATGCGTAAGATGCAAAGAGACCGAATCGTGAGCAAGATGTCAGCCTTTGCCGTCAGCATGCTACTGCAAATGGCAACACCGAGGTAGAGCAAATCTTGACCCAAAATTGGTTGGCCCAACTGCAGCGGCGGTCCGTCTGGCAATGCCTCTAACCATTGCTCGAGGGATAGAGCGCATCGAAAGTTTTGAGCAATTGGAAAGCACATGCTTTGGTAGAATCCCCGACCGTGCTTTGCGAATAGCAACGGCACGTGGCGCAATGAGCGGAGTATGACATTCAGTTTGTTGTCATCCTTGGGAGTGCGTTGATCCAAGTGAATGTCCAGCGCTTCTGGCAACGACACAGCCACTCGATCTTTCAGGCACGGGACAGCTGGATTCAGAATGTTTGAGAAGCTAAGAGAAGAAAATGAAGACACCTCAACTGCTGAGCCAGTACTTCCAGACGTCCGGTGAGCACAATTTGATCGTCGAACGGCATCTCCGTGCCCGTTCGTTGGAGCAGAAACTAGTGGCTCAAGTGAGCACATTGCTGACGAGATGCAGCTTAGCTGAGTGTTCGCTATGGTCGACGCAAGCGCACACCAGATCAAGTGGGTCAGCTGCGGTCCGGTCGAACGGAATCCCTCCTTGAGACCATCCACTGCAGATGCAAGGTCCGCCATTTCTGGTTGGAACCGTGACATTGTTTCCAACACTGATAATGCGAAGCACTTCATTGCACAAATGTCTTCTTCTTGCGGCATCCGAGTTCTTTCACCTCCTTCATCATCTCGCTCTATCGCGTCCTTTGTAGCGAGAGTCTCCAATCGACTTGAAAGTCCATGCAGGAGCCAAGACAAAATGCAAGACGTATCTTGCGAGGACCGGAACACGCGCTCCATCGCATCACGGTCGCGTTGCTGTTCCGCCAATGCCAAAGGAGAGGAAATGGGAAGCCACGGCACAAGCATGGAACTCAGTGCTTGGCAAAGCGGGCAAAGAAATTCACCGGATTGCGCATCAAATGCTATGTTTGTCCGACTGTGGTCAAAGGTAGCTTGAGATTGTGCCCTCACTGAGTCAAAATACTTCTGCCAGCAGTGCAGGTGCACGGCGTGGCCACATATTGATAAATGAACTTGGGGCGGAGAAAAGGCAGCATTAGATGCTGCGGTGCTGTTGCTGGCATCATCCTGGTTCCCGCCTGTCACAACAGCCTCCACTCGGCCGAGAAGATCTTCCCGTGCGTGTGCATCAACTTGACTCATTTGCGCGTGACCGATGTACATGATTGGTGCATTCTTCTGTTTCTGGGAGCAAATGATGCAGTCCGGAGGTGGTGGTGGTCGATACACAAACGTGCGTCTCGGCCCATCGTGATGGAAACTGTCTTCGACAAGACCACAATTGCTGCTACTATCGGACCGCCCTGCATTGTCATCCGCTTGGTCTTCATCGTCGGCATTGCTAAATGCACAAGACTGCGCAAATGCGTTTTGACGTGCCACCATCGCTGCAATAGCACGCTGCTGGTTCGAAACCTTTAGTTCGGCCTTCGACAGTCCGTTCTTCGTAACTAGGTCGTCGTGCTGTTTTAGACCACTCCGAATCGTGACCTCAACGTAAGCACGAATCGTGTAGTCCAACGTCGCCAACTTGTGTAAGATCCAATAGATTGCTGAGATCGTCGACTTTGCGGTTTCAAAGTCATGCTTTACCATATCCTTCGACAATGACACAAGTAGCGCAACGATACTCAAATCATTCACCCTGCCCAGGTCACTCTGGTCGCCTTCATTGGTCATGTGCACGTCACAGTCATCAAATGACGCTGGCTGTCGCTTCACACGCTTTTGCTCACGAGGAGTCGTGTCGACTTCCTGAAATGCATCGGGACCACTGCGCAGAAGTGCAAGTGTCTGACGTCTCTCACTGTCGGACAATACAGCTCCGTGTTGTTGTAGCTGAGAGGTACTGCCAGTACCTCGCTCTAGTACAAGCACAACCAAATTAATAATGTGAATGGCGCGTACAACCACCGTGGCATTCGTTCTTTTAGTTCCAATAGTACGACCCGCGCCATCGCAGTAACCAGCAGCATGGGCGTTTGCGTCTAGAAAGATAAGCCGCAATACGCCCAGCAATCCCTTCTCGAGCACAATATGATGCAATGCACCTAGTGACGAATGAGGGGGTGGTATTTGCGCTACTAACGGGATAGGTGGGTCCGCAACTTTCCATGTCTTGAACAAAGCCTCCTGCCGCGCAAATTGTGCCCTCTCATGACAAGGGCGGCTTATGTGGTAGAAGGAAGGATCGTACTCTGTATAGTATGCCTTTTTCAAATTATACACAATAGGTCCCGTCGCTCCGTCTCCGATGCGGCCCTCGTCGTCCCTGTCGTCGCCTGAAGCAGCAACATTGACAGAACGTTTGACCTGCTGATCAGCCACTTCGTCCAAAATACGCTCAAGTCGGGTAACGTGCTGCTCTTTATGCACAGCTGATATGCCGCCAGAAGGTGTTGAAACAACAAACGCGGTCTGATCAAGCAATTCCGATAACCGGCAAGGGTGCTGGCTCAGCTGATGGATGACTTCGCGACGAAGTACCGTGTCACGCTGTTCGATCTCATCTAGTGGAGGTGGGACTTCAGTAGCGATCCAGATTAGCTGTAAAAGAGCAGCTTCCAGCATGCTTACTTGCTTTTCGTCCTCCGAATTGCTGGCGAATGGCTCTAGGGTCGAGGTGTCAAGGCTCTTGTCAGTAGCAGTAGCATCACTCCACGAGAGGAGCCATTCGGAAAGACCAAATCGCTCGAAAAAGATCGTCAGAAGTTTGGGAAAGCCCACGACTGTTGCAATTACTTGCACAATGAATAAGTCCAAGTCGCGCAGCTTACTGCACCAGGGCGGGCAAGTGTAGCTCGTTAATTGGCGTTTCATTTTCTGCCCGTTGCGGACCCAAAGATCACAGCTAATCTGCGCACAGAGCACCAAGGAGCGCAGTGGATATTCCAAAATACTGTACGCCAGCACGGTCTTCTTCTCTTCAACGCCCAAGAGTTGCTTCTCATCCTTGGCTCCACTTCGTTGTATCACATTTACCATCAAGCGCTCCAAAAGTACGCCCCAGCTTGCATCACATGACGTCGCGGTGCCGGAAGAAGGAGGTGGGCTATGGTAGAGGCTCTCGATCAAGAATCGACTCAATAGACTGTGAAGTGGGTTGTGGAAGGACACAGGTTGTGTCGACACGTCATATTTAGGTATCTCCGCAAAAGAGGAATCCAATCCCATCAACCTGCCACACGGTGGAACAAACAGTTGCAACTGAGTAGCAGCTGTACCAGCCGGATCCAACTGATGCAAAATTCCTTCCAGCACGTTCAACACCATACGTTCGCGATCCTTGGTGTGCGTTTGCGTGGTCGCAGCTTCGTGATTGCGAAGCCCATTTGACATGAGCGTTATTATATTGCTTACGCCAGCGTGAAAGTCAAATGCAGTGATCCAAGACTGGCTTTCGTATGTGACATGCGCGCAACCATTCTGTATCCGCACTTGAGGGTCCAAGCCCTGGATTCGTCCAAGCATCCGCAAAAGCTTCTCTAGTAAATCACGCCGGAGAAGTAGGGCACTCGACATGGCTGGTATACCCAATACATAGGCCAAATGTTCAAACAAATAGTGGTACCGCTTGAATTCAAGCAGTGGGTGGTCACAGTCAAGCGCGCGGGAAGCACATTGATGCTGGGGTGGCGGTAGCGATGGGGCCTGCACCATCTCAAGAGCCGTGTGAATACTTTCCAAAAGCATGTCCAACAAACCCACGCTTGCCAAATGATGCACAATAGAAGGGGTTGTGAAAATTTGCACGCCGTATTGGAATAGCGACTCTTTACGCGTTCCGATTCCACTGAAGTACATGAGCATGAGACGGCTGTACACTTTGTAGAAAACAACCGAAAACTGCAGCTTCGAATCTTTGTCGCCCTGTAGCTTCAGATACAATTTAAATAGCTCCAGAACGATATCTTTGCGGAAATACGGGTGCGAAAGAAACATGACCTGAAGCGGCTCTTCGTCTTGGCCATCCACAGCAAATAACTTTTCACAAAATAGCGCGTGCAGCTGTGTGGAAAGTGAGCAAACTGTCCTCACCCACTGTGCTACCCGCAACAAGACGTTTTCGTCATGTACAAAATCGTCCCGCACCACACACACGTGCCAACCTTCACGCTGTAGCGCCTGCATGAGTGTCAGTGCGTCGCGCAGCACCAAGTTTCGAGCTACAATCTCCGACCCGTTCGCGTCGATTCTACGCACGAGGTCGTTTGCCCTCAGAATTCGTTTTCGAGACAGAGATTGGACCAAATCCTCGTCCGAGTGTACGTCGTCGTTAGCTATTCTCACATGAAACTGTCGTTCCATCAGCTGTCCATCTTCCAAGCTAACCCCACGCTCTTGTATCTCGAGCCACAATCGATCAAGCACCTGTCGTCCTTGTTCATCGACAAACTCAGCATTGAACACCTGCATTGATTGCTTGGCCATCTCCACAAAAAAGCCCACAATCGCTGTAAAGAGCGCATCGGCTACGTGGACAACCTCGACTGGCAACAGTTCTGCATCCGTACTGTTCAAATGGGCAGCAGCGTCTCCTGCTGGTTGCCCATGACGGACACAGAACCCCTCTGGCGCCCACGCTTCGCTGTCTCCGCAATCACAGACCCCGCCTGGACTCGTCCGATGGAACAACACATCGTGGCCGTCGTGGTTGCCATGCTGGAAGCACTGGACACACAAGACACACGTGTCGTCGGCGCCGCACGTCCTGCAGTTGAACGCAAGGTCGTGGCGCTGGAACAAGTAGCCACAGAGCCCTCGAGTGCTCTCTCGGGGCCTCACTCGATCAAACAACGCGTCTCTCGACACAAAGGGCAAAGGCCGCTCCGGGTGCTGGAAAGGTGTAGCCCTGTCGACGCAAGTCCCGTCGTGCAGGAGCCGGTCGGCCCGAGCCAATAGTATCGCGTCCAGATACGTAGCCACTTCGTCGACAGGGACGGCAGGCGTCTTGTCGGCGCTGCCGGCCCGCGACAGCTGTCGCAGCTTCGACATCAGACGCGGGATCAGATTTACACAGAGGCAGTCGGTGGGCGTCTTCTGCAGCAGGTGCCGCACTGCTGTCAGGTCGTCCGGTGTCGCGAGCGTCGCCATCTCTGCCTCTGCTTTCAGTGCCCCCACAGCGTCTCACGTGGTACGGACCGTCAACGGCTTTGCCCAATAACTTTACCAATAACACCAAAACAACAATAACACCAAAACAATAACAACAACGAGGAGGAGGAGGAGGAGGAGGAACTGTTAATACAGTACACGAACCGAGGGATCGAAACGTACTTAGTCTGCTGCAGTTGGGAACGCGCGTGCGACATTTGAGGGCGCGTGAGACGTGGGACCGGGCGGCGGCGGCGCGGAGAACAGTCGTCGTCTCTTTTCTGTCGCCACAACGTACACTGACTGGTGCGGCGGACCCTTTGTCGCGGGTGCGGGAGGCCGCTGTTGGTGTGGGACACGCTACGAGAGGACCGAGAAAGTGGTCCAGGTCGACTCGCAAAGACGGAGGAGTTGCGTCGGAAATAGTCTGCGGCGTGTCCGTGTTTGATATTTGTGACGACGACGACGGGTGCGTAAGTAATTTAGCATCGCGGAAAGAGCAACACCAAATAATTACGGGTAGTAAAAACCATCGCAACGTGATTAAAGCTGTACAACGCGTCGATAAAATGGAGTAAGTGATTGAATGAAATGTAAAGTGCACCAAACAAACTCATAGATACGTAAAATACCAGCGATGTATACTTTACGTCCGATCGTCAATATTTATACACGCGTGTGCTCACGTTGCAGGTATATCTTTGTCATAAACATCCATGCACACACAGCAGCAATTCGGCCGTGGGTGGCGGCGTCAGACCATTTTTGTGCTCCGTGATCACTTATTCTTCGATATGACGCCTGTTATCCAGCACAACTCTTGCTCCTATGATACAGACCCTCTAGGACGCGATTGTCTTTGTTCACGCACCGACTGAGTCACGAATGCAGCAAACAAAGGTATGGCATATTGTGCTGCGTGTTCAAAGTAAATCGAGAAGACTGGAACACTTGCGCTCGTTTGCATTGTATCCCCCACTGCTGATAGCAATGCTGCATGCATCACCACAGCTTCCAGACGGCCGCATCCGATCACTTCCACCATTTGCAGCTTCTTTGCTGGCGATCGGTACACTCCATAAGCCCGTAACGCTTCGCCATCAATGTTCACTCTATAAGCGCGTCCCACTTTGCGTGTCAGCGTGCAAATGTGCCATTCCTAGCCAACTACTACATCTTCTTCTTCTTCGTCTTCTTCTTCTTCTTCTTCTGAAAGCAGAGCTGGCTGCTCCCGCCTTTTTTTCTTGTGGCGTTATGGTACAGGAAGCGGCAGACGAGCACAGCAGCTACGAAAAGTCTATTGCCGTTCCTCGACGTGGTCAGGGAAGCAACCAAATAGGTACTGAACGAACAAGCAGATGTGACACCACGAAAAGCGTTGACTTTATCGAGTCAAAAGATAAATAATTAGCGAGGTAGGTCAGTCATAGACACGTTTTGGAAACCATGTTGTCATTTACATCTGTCAGTTGATTTCAGATTTTGTGTTCGAGAGCTTACGGACGTCTTCAAGCTGCTTGGCATCAATGCTGGACACTGTTTGTCATTCGACCGAACGCCTTTCCTCGTCTGTATCAACCCAAGCAATGGCACAGAAAGTTGCGACCATGTCAACGTTGGCTTAGCTAGAGTTTGTGAGGACCTCTCTGACTGCTCTTTGTGCATTTATACAGAGCTCGATAACGTTGGAGAACTGGAGTAGCTATTCGGATAGGTGACACTGGAGTAGCTGACTGAATGTCACCTTCCATCTTTCTTTACAAGATCTACTCCTACACAAAGGCCTCGTGCACGACTTCCTTTCAGTCGTAGCTTCACTTGCTACCTACTACCGATGTTACAGCCAGTCAATACTTATCGATGGCTTTACGTCCAGCAGATCATGAACTTGCTCTTCAATGCCTTCACAAGACCTGTGGGACTCACTGCATCAGCACCAACCCGTCCACCAACTCTCCAGTATGTTGTCTCCTCTTGCTGCCTTTGTCCATCTGTCTTCTTTTGCTGCCTTGTGTCGTTTCGGTATATCATTTACTACGGCATCGTAAAGCGACACTTTGACACTTCACTGTCTCTTCATTGCGAAACTTGGCGACACCGTCATGGGCGTCAGCTACACGTGAAAACCATGTGAGATTAATCGAAGCTGAATGAGGACAAGAGAACGTCTGTAGTTGTACAGATGACTGAATGACGACATCATAAGAGCATGGGATGAAGAGTCGACGCAGTTGATTCCTCTCGCATGATGACTGTCGACGAAAACAGTCGCAAAGATTTGTGAACAATCGAAAAATAGATGGAGAATGCAGCGATACGTAAATTACACAGGAACGGTGCCAGGCATGTGCCTACTTGTACGACGGTCGTGCGCATCGTACACATCCGTGGTGTGTTTTTCATTTCTGTCGTTCTGACGCGCAATTGTTCGTTTGCCGTGCTCATTATTTATAGTTTTTATTTCCCCGGACAATTTATTCTCGTCTATCTCAGCATGAGTTGTGGCATCCGCTTGAAACTGCTCGTCCTCTGCACATCACCTCGAGCAAAGAACGTCAACTTGCCATCCAAAGTTACGCTTCCTCTCAGTCGTGCCGACAAGTACAACTCGGTCTCCTGCTTCCACAATAAGCCTTAGCTGTACACGTGGGCGCCAACCTGACGAGGCCGCGTCGTGCGCACGAGTTCGGCAAACGGTGGGCCTTGTAACCTGGCAACTGCAGTAGCGCTTGAACGTCTACTTGCACTCGTGTCCGATCCCTGGTCAATTGCTTCACTGAGCAAGTCGTGGCGGAGGGAATAGCTCGGCTCGTCAACAAACTCGCTGCTGCCGCGGAAAAGCAGCTGCACCTGAGAGCTGTTGAGCTCTTTGCGCCGCCACACGCGCAAGTCAAACACAAGGCCACTAAAGCCAAACCAACCGGAAAAGTGCGGCTCCGGTTTGGCTGGCGCGAGACCGCTGATACAGCCTGACCCGACATTCACGTGCCGCAACTTTGCCCAATCTTCAAGCAAAGCACCAGTGTCCGACAAACGCGGCTCTCCATTCAGGTAAACAGTCAGCAGTTGCTCCGGCTGGTCATTCCTCGTAAAATCCACGCAGTCCGGTCCAGCGTCACCGCCGTACGTTGCTACGAGATGATACCAGTGGTTAGGCACCAGCTCACGAGCCACACATACCGGACCAGGACGGTTGAGCAACGAGCACCACAGGTTGCCCAACGGGTCGACGGAAAACAACTGCTGATAGGCGTATGGCCAACCGCTAGCATCGCTAGTCTCCTGAAACGGTAGATCTTGAGCTCCTAGCAAAACACCGCCTAGAAACGTATCCCCAAGCTCAGCTAGCGAGAACCATATTTCAATGGAGAATGGATCAGTAGCGCTGCTAGCCTCTGTCTCGTGATCGATGCTTTCACCACTGCTGGTTAGTACGTGACTCAACGACCCTGGCAAAGGCAGAGCCGATCCGCGATCACGCCAGCGTGGGTCGATAAGTAGCCCGCGGAAACGAAATGAGTCCGTCAGTAGGTATGGATCACGCTTAAACGATATGTCAAGAGGCCGAGGCGAGCTTTGGACAATAGCACTGATTTGAAGGCGGTCAAGGCCACAGACGTTCTGGCCGTTGATCGCAACGATGACATCACCACGCTTCACGCGTCCTGAAGCCTCAATCTCTCCAGCTGCGCCGGACTCAGTTCGCAAGAATTTGCTTACTACCACACGGTTCCCGATCGAATTAATCTTCACCCCCAACCATTTTTGGCGCAGTTCCACGACTGCTACGGTCGCGGTTGCTGATCCAAATTCAATCGGTCGCAGTGACTCCGGAAGCTCACGATCGGAAAACCCAATGGCCCCGAACTTTGTTGCTAGATTGCCTGCAGAGATACTCGGCTGTCTGATAAGCTCTGGCGCATTCGATGCGGGTTTGGTCGTCGGTAAATAAGGCGAAGCCGCCATGCGTAAGTGGTCTGCACTGGAGGCTCGATGTAACGGTAGTGCAGGCATCGACGCGTCTTCGAAATTCTTGTCATCACCATCGCGCTCGTGCTCTTCTTCTGCTAAGGCATGTAGCTCCTCCACAACTGTGTTTATGTCAGGTCTGGCGGCCTGATCAGGATCACACATGGCTTCAACTAATGACCATATATTATCTTCTGCTCCGACCGGAGGAGGAGGCATTTTGCCTGCTAAAACTCGCCCCCGCACTTCTTCGTCAGACAGAAATCCATACGGTAAGTCCTCCGATAGAGCCTCCAGTAATGTCATTCCAAACGCGTAAATGTCTGAAGCCAACGCAGCCTTCGGATGATCTTTTAGTAACTCCGGCGCCTGCCACCTGAGTGACCCTGAATGGGGTACAAAGGGCGGAGCCTCTTCAGAATCCGCTGCAACACGCGATAGCGAGAAGGAGCGCAGATTGGATAGCCTGGCTTGGCCATCATCTCCGACCAAAATGTTCGCGCAGCGAATGTCACCGTGTACCAACGATGCTTCGTGCAAGCTCTGCAGTCCCGTAGCAGCTTGGGCAAGCAAGCGCACGAGCTGACGTCCATGGTCCACCGACAGATATAGATAGTCTTCCAGCGATATCACCGTTGCTGTCCCAGTCTCCGGAGCTGCCCATGGACTCACGAATGCCACAAATGGCTGTAGACCAAAAGTTGACGCTCCTGCTAACTGCAGGACATGCGGGTGGCACACCACGTCACGAAGTAGTTCAGTCTCGCGCTGCACAGCTTTCACAGCTTGCGCGAGAGATGTCTCCAGCTCTGCTTCTGCTCCATTAGCAGCGACATAGTGTTTGATCAGGAGTCGCTGCACACCACTCGATCGCTGCCCTCGACTGTGCATCCAGCTAGCACTTGTGATTTGACAGTGTGGCCCGCCGCGGAACCGCGCGCTAGGGCAAAGAGCTACTTCAGCAGGCGATAAGAACCACGACGGCAGCACGGGCACCTCGACGCCGCAGACACGAACCAGTCTCCGAAACAGCACCCGCAACGACTCTTCATGATCCGGCAAGAGCTCTGCTTCCCCCTCTTTTGCAGCCTCTTCTTCCTCCCCCTCCTCTTCCTCAGCTGCACCGTCGCGACTGCTGACATAGCTGCGATTGAGCTGCTGCTGCTGCTGCTGCTGCTCCTCCTCTTCTTCTTCTTCTTCTTCTCGCTCCATCTCGTCACGTCCTGCACGCGCTTGAACGCAAACTTCACCACAGCGATCATCTCCCGCTGCTCATTGTCCGAGCGCTCGGCAACAGCGTCCACCTGCCCTTGCGCCGCCACCAGCAGCGCGTTCTCCACGCGCTCGAGCGCTTCTTCCCACTGCTGCGCCCAGCCGGCGCTCGGGTCCACGTGCTCAGCGTGCAGCCCGCGGAACGCCGCGTCCATCCACACGTGCAGCACGCGCAGCTCACAGACGGAAGACGGGGCGCCGGCGAGGCGGAACACGGCGCTTTCGGTCGCGGCGAGGCGCTCGAGCAACAGCGTAAAGCGCGACAGCGCAGCATCGACTTGCACGGGCCACTGCAGCGCAGTGGCGGCCGGGGCGGTCCCTTCGGACGACAGGCGCTCCGGTGGCGGCCGGAAGTGGTCCGTGTAGCCGCAGATCGCCACGAGGCGGCCGAGTAACGTCTCGCAGAGCGGCCGCAGCTCCCACGAGCGCTCGCAGAGCGTCTGCATGGCCATGACGGCGGGCTCCATTCCCGAGACGCGCGAGACGGTCGAATGCAGCCGCTGTGCACACGGGCGCGACGAGAGAGAGAGAGAGAGAGAGCGCGCGCGCGACACGCGGGCGATCGTCACGCAAACGAGTGCGGCCCACGGGCCATACAAAGCTCAAGAGCGGCGGCCGGTGAATGTACCGGTAGAGAACTCGGTACATTCAGAGCGACGGCTTGTCGCAGCGCTACACGCTGAAGGGGCGATGGGCGCACGAGACATGGAAAGGCCGAGCGTGTGAAGTAGTCCTAGTCGTCGTAGTAGTTGTTGTTGTTGTTGTAATCGTAGTAGTAGTCGTAGAAGTCATAGTACTACTAGTAGTAGTCGTAGTAGTCGTAGTTGTAACCGTAGTAGTAGTCGTAGTGGTACTAGTAGTCGTAGTCGTAGTAGTGGTAGTAGGGTGTTGTTGTGCTGTAAATGTGCCGCTGCGCCTGAATCGGCACATGCAAATGAGTCACCGCTCGATTAGATGGTATGCAAACGAGCACAAACGTATCCCATAACTACCACGTCCGCTGTCCTAATCAACAACATCGCTACGTCCGTCGGGTGCGTCCACTTCCCATTGCATGTCGATCCGCGACTGATTCAAGTCCCACGCACCGTCGTCTTCACTCTCGACGTGACAACTCGTAGCGTCATGAGCGACATCGCGTTCCGCAGCTTTGCTCGCATCGCCCGTCTTCGTCATGACGTCGCGAAGTATCTCCAGCGATGAAGTCGTCACGTCAATGCGGCGAGCAACGACACTTGGCGCACACGAGAAAAAGACACGTCTGGCAGGATCGTCTTCCTCAGTGCTCCTGTCGTCATTGTCGGCTCGGGTTACCCGCAGCGCAGCAGCGTGTCGAAGCTTGTCGCACAGTGCCAGCGAATGCACTAAACTCCATTCGACGTGACTGGAAACTATCGCGGCAGCACGTACAGAAGAAGCGCTGTACGTTGGGTCGACTCGTGGCTCAATCAGTGCAGAGATGGCTTCGAGATGGTCCGACAGATTCAACCGAGTTGCCCTGCTCAGACCTTGCGCAACGCGAGGGTACTTGACCATCACAGCCGAGCATGACTGCATCACGTCTTCCATCGCGCGGCTCCATGCCGCTTGAGCTCTTTGGTCGCCCTGAAGCGTCTGAAGCGGAGCGCCAAATATTGCAGGCCACTCGTCCACGTTCACCTTCGACAAGTACGTCAGCATCCGGTAGAGCGAATAGATGATACGGCCAGATGCTACATCCGCTGCAGAGGGCACTGCATCCACTTCACCACACGACTCGATGCTCTTGAAATAGTGCAAGACCAAATGTTCACTGATGAGATTGACCAGAGAAGAAAGCTGGCACTCGCTCGGTAGTAGGCTGCTGCATCGGCTCGAAAGAATCGCGCGGACGAGTACAGTCATTACGCTGTATGGCTCAGTATCACACAGTTCGCGACTTGCTTGCAGTTGGTGCTGCCAGCACTCCAGCTGGACAGCAGCAGACTTGTCAACTGCGCCACCGCAGTCCTTCGACGGAGAGGACATCTGAACGCAAAACACCGGGGTGTAGCTCGAAGCAGTGCAGAGACTAAAGTAGAAACGATCCGGGACGGACGAATCACAGACAACATGCCGGACACTGCAAGCGCCACGCAGTTCACTCAGCAATTTCTCTTGCAGTGTTGCTTCTTCGCTGAAAGAAGTACCGCTTGGCAGCACCAAGCACAAACCAATGACAGGTGAAGACATGCTCATGATAGTCGTATCAATGCGATGCAATGCGCCGTCACCTTTGACCGCTGAGACTCGAGTCCAAGCCTCCTCGATAGCACTGATGCCTCGCAAAATGACACTGCGCGTTCGCTCCTCTACGTTAATGCCCAGCGAATCCAGCATTGCAGACATACTTGTGCACGGAAATTCCAGCATCCTTTTGTCCCGACTCACAGCACATTCTTGTCCAATCCACGAGACACTCAGAGCAGAATCCTGGAAGCACCTGACCTCGGACAAAGGGCGTTGCAAAACTTCTGCATCAGTTGTAAGTATTGTGACTTGCTTGTAAAGGCCGAAGTTAGCAGTATCCAGGTATTTGCAAATGGTCTCATCGAAAGCGTTGGACGAAACGGGTTCACAAAAACTGACCACGTCGTCAAATGATTGTGTTGCCGAGAGAAGGAATCGAGATTGCACTCGCTTCATCAACGCCGAAACCGACAATGGTGAAGTTTGAGATTTCCGAATACAAAGCAAACGTGCCTTGCAGCCAGACCCCATTTGGTACAACACTTGAGCCATACCACGAAGCTTTGTCCTCGTCTCACCAGTATCCTTGGCAAAGTCGCACTCCCTCACGTGCAAAATAAACAGCTTTGACTTGGCAGCGTTACTTCTCTGTGGCGACACATCGTTGTCAACGTCCCGGTGGGTACGACTCGAGTCATACGCCGAATCATCAACAGCAAAAGGTGATGTTGTTGTTACCACTTGCTCCTCTTCAACGCTAAAAACAGCTCCAACACGAGCTTTTAAATCGAGCGGCGGATCAACTGCAGCTCGCTTGGCGGAGGAGATGGACAGAAGGTCATTCGAATACACTGGTTTCACGCGGTGTGCGGTAGACAAGGTGACATGTGGTATCTTGTTTCTCCGTTGTAGATGCAAATTACGATCCACCTCGACTCGAAGAGCTTGGCCACGGTCGTCTTGAACGACTTCGACTCCACGAACAGAGCCTAGCGCACTGAGTTCAACATCTCGGACATACTGCAGATTCGGCTGGTAAAACAATGTCACATGGTCAGCATACTTATTTACATGCGCTGCAGGAATCCGAGCGGCCAGCTCTGTACGCGACTTCTCGTCCAGAAAGAGTCCGACGTAAATCAAGTTTCCGACATCGCCATCGGACACTGGGTTTGCTGAAAGTAAGCCATGCTCAAATTGGGGCGTGAACGAGTGAGCACGGGTGTCTTCCTCCCATCGCAAATACATGCTGACAACTTTGAGCGGAGGGACGCCATGCGCGTTACGTCGACCCATCCGCAATGCTGTCAGAACGTCGGGACACTTCATTTCGACAATATGCACGCGACAACCAAAACTCTGAGCAATGTCCTCGTACGGCGCATATTCCCACTTCTGAGTGCTAGTGTTTTCAACCAGCACAACATGCTGATAGCAACTGCTTTGCTTATTTCCTTCCGAGATAGCACCCGTCACAGCCCTCCTGTAATCGTCTTTGCACTTACCGTGAGCAGCGCTGAGCTCCTTCCCGTTAAACACGTATCCCCGCGGCGTAGCAAAGTGCAAATCTGCCGAGCACATCGTAAACGCCACCCTTTTGTGGCCACATAGCGCCTCGAGTTCTCTCCCCAGCGTACTCTTTCCACTGCCTGGAATACCTCGCATAATGACCACCACCGGTTTACCACTTCCGACATTGCTGCGCAGCATGTCGTCTACAAGATCTGCGAGTCCAGGATACCGCATTTCAGCAACAGAAAAAGCCCGCTTGGCTGCATCGATGGGCTGCAACACGACTCGCTGAATCTCTTCTCGCTGATCCCCCACAGCAGCATCAAGCGTTACCTGACTCCACGTCAGTCTTCCTTTCCACTGGTACTTGTCATGCTCCACGTCGCTTCGTTCCTCACTCGAAGAAAGTAACGGTACCACCAACCGATGCGTCGGCAGCAGCTTCATAGCCAGCACCTCGCAGCTCTTTAGTCTCAGTATCAAACTGTTGGCAATTCTCCAAATCGCATCCTCCGACGCTCGAGTAAAGCCCACACTCAACTTCCACTCGTTCTTCTTCACGTCCTGTTGCAGCATCGTCTCCACTTGCAGCTCCAGTTGCTCGCCATTCTCTTCCAGTCTCTTGAGCGCCGCCAGTACGCGCTGCAACTCCACCACGTGCTGCCACTTGTTCAGACCACACTCCAGCAGTTCCACACGCACGTCATGACGCGCTGTGACGGCGGCACTGCGGTGCGCGTCAAAGGTCCGTTCAAAGTCCACGCAAACATCACGTAAGGACTTTGCGTCGTGGTGTACGGAGCACAGTTCAAGCGCCACGCGCACGCGCAATGCGCTTTGGTCAATGCCGCGAGCAACGTCCGGGTCCGCCAGTTCAGTCGGAGCCCGACGTCGACTACCGCGACCGCGACTCGAAGACGACTGAGTGGACGTCGAGGACCGCCGAGCGCCGCGACGAGCTGCTGTTCGCCAAGCCATGGCAAATTGAACAATGAGCTGCTCATCGCCGTTGGGCTCGACTGGAATATCCGTGGATAGTCGATGATGATCCGGAGAAAAGGTCTGTATGTGATGATTCGGTCACTAGATTGAAGTGGATTTGGCTACAGATTTAATCGCTTTCCTCGAAACGTCCAGCCGTATACAGTATACACATATTTCGACAGTTAGCCAGTGAGCGTCAGAGATGTTGATGATGATGCGGGTAAACATAGACCGTCGATAATCATTTGGTGTCACATCGGTGCTGTCATCAGCAAGTGAATCGATGCATGATGAGCATTGGATCAGAGTGTGATAGAGCTCGAGGTAATGTATGGTGAGCAATACAGATCGAGGCACTAGCTACCGTGAAAGGTAGACTAGCGTCAATTTGACACGCCGACGTCGTTAGTAATGACGCGATTGCTGCTCGTCCTGCGAATGGATGAACCCCGGCACGCTGTTGCAAAAGTCCTGCATCTTTTGCATGCGTCTTCGCAGCTCGTTTTGCAGCGTCGTCTCGGCAGCAATGACGCCTGGAGGTAACAGCGACTCAACTGTATCAGCTCCAGTGAATGCCGCAGCTGCGGAAGCCAACGACTCGAGTCGCGTGTCCGCTACGGCACGCTTCGGGCCTTCACCACAGGTCGTTTCGCCGTCTTGCGCGTCCTTCTCCAGCTCGCGCTTGAGGCTCTGGATCCGCTTTTCCCACTCGCGAATCTCCTTTGTCTGTGCTGCGTTGCGCTCCGCCATCTCACGCGCGCGCACGTCGTAGTCCAACGCCTGTTGCCGCAGCAACTGACTCGAGCAGCGGAAGAGCATCACCGCAGACGTCTGGGAGATGCCGGTCCGAGTACTCACGACAGCTTCGGCATTCCGTTTGCGTCTGCGCGTGACACGAGTAGGCACTTTGTGGTCGGCTCGGCCCTTCTCCATGTGGCTGTCTGCTGCTTTCTCGCCGCCCACTTGCAGTATTTGCTGTTGCGGTCGCTCGTCCTCTTCTCTCGACACCTTTTCCGCAGCCGTCTTTGCACTACAAGTTTCATTCATCTCTTGATGGCCGATGCGCACCCGACACTTCTCTCTCTCTCGCTCTCGCTCTCTTTATTTCTTTCGCTCGTCTCTTTCTCTTGTGCGTTGCAGCAATCGCCTGAGCTGCTGCCGCCACTTGTTTCGGCCACGACGCGGCAAAGTCTCTCTTAACGTCTACGCTTCGAATGCCGGTGCCTCATCTCCCGCTGTATGCGATTTGAGAGGGTGCCCGACAGCTCAAATCGGAACCCATGTGGCAGCTGAGAAGCGAGTTTCAGCCAATGACTTGCCGTCTACCATAGCATGCCAAAACGGACGCGCGCGTGCACACCATCGGTACACAACTAACCTCTCATATCGCGTACACAGCGCTGCCAGTTGTTGCGATCCGACACTGTCATGCGCGACTCGAGTCTGCTGCTCAAGTGCGAAGCGTTTCTTCTTCACCCGACCGTGCGGACGCTGTCGCTCGCTCAGCGCGTCGATTTTCTCGAGAAGAAGGTGCGTGTGTGCATCATGCAACGAGGGACAGAAGAAACGCCAGGCTGTGGGATGTCGTTGGGGACTGAGCAAAACCTGTCGAAATGCATACACAGGGCCTGACGCCAGCAGAGATCGCGCAATGTCTGACGAGTCTCACGCAGCGCGACGGCCTTTCGCAAGTCGTGCGACGCCCGATCACCGAATCCATAGCTCGTGCTTTTGGCGGTCGTTCGTCCATTGGAACGGCGACTTCGCCTCGCCAGCTGCTCCAGTTCGTCCTTCAGAAGTACGGCATCGTGGCACTGCTTGTGGCGTGCTTGGGAGTCAGTTACGCGCACTGGAAAGGCAAAAACGGTGAACAGCTGATATTGCAGCACGAGGCAGAAACGACCCAACGGCAGCAGCGCCAGCACACGCGAGTCGCGGCGCTACTGGCTGTGGTGAACGATCAGCAGATGCAGTACAAACAGGCCGCTAAGCTCCTCGAGACTCGCGCGACGAGGTGTATTGACGCAGCACAAGCAGCACAAAAAGCTCAAGGGATACAAGTAGCAGAAGCAGCAGGGGTCGATGCTGCTGCGACGTCGCTGACAGCATTATCCGCAACGCAAAGCACGCGACGATCGGAGCTTCGAGCGCTGAAAATGGAAATGCTGGAGCTGAGAAGTGCCATCGTGAACTCGTGTTTGCAGTCTCCGGTTGCTGCAAAGGTTGTCGACGACAAGGAGCTGCTACGGCCGGCGGATGTCGCGGCGACGAACCGATTAAAAGAAAAGGATGTACAGGAGAAGACAGTCATTACAAAGCGACTCACGAGTTGTGATTCTGCTATAGGCGCTCGTTATATGAAAGCAGAGGAAGCACGTCCGATGATGCCTGAATGGGTTGGAAGCAACGACATACAGCGAAGCAGAACCAAGGATCAAACGGCTATGAATTCTGGAGAGATTACTGAATTGTTCGAGCTAGGCCAGACTCAAGAGCAGCTATCGGCAGCAGGAAGCTACCGTCTTTTGTTCACCACATAATTGGCAAACGTTCATGGTGAACGTTTGCACGATCGTGAGGTGCGTCAAGCACTCGTCAAGAAGCAAGATCGTCAAGATTTGGATTGTAGTAAAAGCGCTTGCATGTTTGCATGGAGCCGGCGGACATTTGCAGCTTTCGAAAGCCGCGAGAGCTTGCGCCGATCTGCTAGTTTGAGACAAAGTACGATATGCTGGTACTCGTGTGTGTGGATGAGTGAAACTCACTCGCGAGCATGTGGTCATCTTCCGAATAGGCGACTCGTGGGTACGCGTAAAAATGAAGCACGAGCACAGCAGTGCGTGACTGCACGACGTATGCGCAGAGAGTTGCAGGTTGAGCAACGCCAGGGAAGTTTGTTATACGCACAACGAGAAGCCGGCGCGTTTATCGAATAGGCTGCAGACGAAGTGATCACATGCACGGCGGCAAGACCAAGTGCCCGGCGCTGCTGATGAATTGACTCGGTAGTATACACATGCTGGCTGGATGATCGCTGATGTCGTACATGGCTCCTGCAGTGCCGGCAGAAGATGACAAGGCCAGCTGAAACATGAGCAGAAAAGCTGTGCGCAACAATCATGCATTGGCGCTGGAGAACAAACTACCTGCCGACTTAGCGCAAGAAGAATTCGCGGTCGAGCTGGTAAAAGTACGACGTATGGCTTGCATACGTGCTGCAAGGCAAGCTGATGGATTGGCTCGTGCTGCTGAAAAAGCGCTGGGGAAGTGCGACTTCTAGATGCCGAATCGGTATGGCTGCTACGTAACAGGCGGCGCAAAGAGGCCACCTTGCAAAGAGCTTAGGGGACGAAGACTAGGGATTGGAGATGGTGATGACGATAATATTGAGCTAGCAGAGGTGGGTAAGATGGTGTGAAAAAGGAGGGGAAGAGGCGGCATCAGAACGCAGCAAAGTTGCATAAAGAACGTACGGCGAACCAAAAATTGTTGCGATTTGTCAGATGTAAAGAACGTGTAGCATATATAGTGTTGACTGAGTTTCGACATGATCATCGGTGACAATAAGATGCTCGAGACGAGAAGTGCGACTTCAGTCAAACCAATTTGTCCTCGCGAAGTGTGAAGTACCAGCGAGTGCCGATCTGCTCGTGTGTGAGATGGTACCTGCAGTCATGACGTTTCGCATACTTCTTGTGTGCCGTCTTTCCGTAAAGAAGTTGTTTCGAAAGCTAAGGGCGTGGAAAGAATCGTGTATGAATTGCTGACCTCCCTACGTCTAATACGCCGCCACTCGGCCATAACGGTGAGTAATGACAGTCCTTGTCAAACCATATTGGTATCGTTTCGTGCCTTTAGCTTCTTGATCTTCCGTGACGACATAGCAGTGTATCGAGCGTTCGTTCACCCTTCCATTGTTGCGCCGTCTGCATTTACCAACCAGCACCAAAGCGCAGAGAAATTTACGCTGACTTTGGTCCACTTTGGTCATACACTGACTCTGCCCATATTTTCACTTGGCTAGCACACCACAGGATGCCACTACCATTGAATGGCAGGTTTCATTTGACAGCTCCAAGCTTTCTACAGCTTGTGTGATCGAAACGTCGTGTCGCCCATTTTAAACTTGAACTTCTTGCCGCGGAACTGCTCGAGCGAAGAATCGGGTAGGTTGCTAGCGTTGGACGAAAAAACTCGCTTCCGCTCGTCACTACTTTTCTTGCCCGACCCGCTGCTGGCATCGGGGCCGTTCAGCCCAGCACTATTGCCGCCACGACCTGAGCTGCTCATCAGCATCCGATTCTTGCTGTCTTCCATCATGATCCGAAGGCTTTCATAGCCACCAGCCCAGTTCGTACCCTTATCCTGAACGATGTGAGCAACTGAGATGGGAGTCGTTTCGCCCCAAATCTTTCGATACAAGACGATGAGCGCCACGCGTAGTCGCTGATCCATTGCAGCAGTCGTATTCATTAAACCCCACAGCTCTTCAACGATACGCTTGGCGGAGCTGCTATCATCGCGAAGCTTGCTAAGGTCGGGACGATCGAACAACCCTAACACTTGGTCTTTCTCCGGGCTCTTTAAAACAAACGATGTCGGCTCCTTCATCTCAATGTAGTTCATCAAGCCTAACGTATAGCTGTAATCCCACGTAGCTAGGACTTCTTTCCCAACACCGGGCGGAAACCCGCGCATGCAGTTAAGGCAAACATGCACAGCAAACAATCGGATGCCAGGTGATTCCTCAGTTTTTAGGAGTTGGCACAGCCACAACAAGGCTGCCGTAGCACCGAAACTGTTTGCCAACATGAAAGACGGATCCTGTGGTGACGATCGTCCAACCTTCTGGTGCGCGACGGAAACGCCGGGGAAGTGAGCTCCCGTAAACGAAGACTTGTCGTCGCCCGTCGGGCCAGCAGGATCTTCAGCGAAGAATAAGCGAAGTATGCTTTCGATGGCAACTTTACGAACAGCGTTAAAATGCTTTGGTGAAGCGAATGAGCGAAAATTCACCAACTTCTCCTCACATCGTCCGGCCAAAACCAGATTACACAGCGCTTCGAGACAGCATACAGTGATCGTCTTGTTATAGCTTGGCTGCACCTGGTCGTAATGCAGGTAACGCAAAATCTCTCGCACAACGAGCGAGTCGCCATCGTCTGACCGCGCTGGACCGTCAACGTTTAGGACAGACAGTGACAAAACCAGATTGCCAATATAGTAGCAGTCGTCAGCAACTTGCGATTGATCGTTCATTTCAACGTAATTCTTCGAGTTGTCGTTTTCAGTCAGTAGCTGCAACAGAAACGTCTCAATTTCTGGTGGCGTCTTGCCATTTTGAGCACGTATGACAGCAAGTGCCCTTGGAATGCTTTTCTTGATCTCATACTCTCCGGCAGCATAGTCCTGTACCTGAATCTGCTTACTCGAGAACGATGCCTGCTGTGCTCCAAGAGCTTCCAAAACAACCTTTCCGCCAGACGGCAAGAAGTAATTCGGCAGTGGCATATCTGTCGTTCGATCAAAAAAGTGCTCCTTGAAGATACGCACCAAGTTGTGCATCCCCTTCCAAATCGGAAGCTGTGTATTTGCATTGGTAAGTGGTGCATGAATTGATTGCCAAATCCCGAGCGAGCGAGCAGCTTCGGCGCGCAATCGTCTTGAGTGAGTCGTCAGACCGCTCATACACTCCGTCAGCACTCGACATGACATCACATTGGGCTTTTCATGCGGTCGATGGAATAATGCAAGAGCACGTGCGGCATGCACGCGTGAGCCAACCTTTTTGTCAGACAGCAACTGCTCCATCCAATTAAAGTCTGGCTGGTGCATCACGACGTGCCGCAGCCACGCACACCCTGTATCGATTTTCACCCAAAACACAGGTGTGTCATTCAAGCCCATACCAGGGCCACCAACAGACACTGAGTCGTCAGGATCTGCAAGTCCCTGTCGTTTCCGACGTTTCTTTCGGACCTTAGAGTGACACGGGAAATCAAACTTATGCCGCTTGTGCTCGATGCGCTTCTGGTATGAGTATTCGCTCGTATCCTCCACGATGGTAACTGTGATCGGACCGGTGTACAGCTTTCCACCAGGCGGAATTTCTTGTTGCAACACCACTTCCGCTTGCGTCTGCTTACGATTATACCAATATCCGACGGTAAAGAACGGCATTCCAGGTTCGATAATCCATGAAGAGAGAAAAGACTTCGTAAGATCCTGACCTGACGCACCTGCAATCGTCTTCACCGTCTTCAAAAATGACAGTGTTGTCAACGGTTCCGCCACGGCCGAACCCCCAGCCACTTTTTCAGCTGCACCTGCAGCATCGCCCACTTCTTCTTCATCATCACGTCCAGCGCTCTTCTTGCCATAGCTGATCTTGTTTGCCTTGTCATCTCTGTTTCCGTCTCCTGTTGTCTGAGCGTCACCTCCACTGTTTGCGTTACTGCTAGCCACTTCTCGTGCGATCCCACCCGATACTGCACGCTGGATAGCGATGCTGAGATGTTTTGGACCGACGCGTTGCTCAATCATGTGCAGTACGAGAGGTGCCTTGATTTCTAGCATTGTCAGAGATGTTGGGTCATATTCCGAATACACATCTACCTCAGAAGACAGCAACGCAGGTGACTGCTGATCCGTCGTCAGCTCCATCGTAGTCAGTGCATCCATAGCAAGCTGGATGCGGTAGCCATACTCTTCCTCACCGTACACCGACCGCACGTATGTGTTGACAAGATGGCCAATCACGCCAATGAGCACCCATGCGTCCTTCGTGCTCTGGATGCCGACAACGCCACTAACCCAGCTGCCTGCTAGCCCCTTTACTTGCGCTAAGTGCGAAAGCAACTCGCGGTCAATGATTCTTGGTCCATGCAGCAAGTTCTGGTCGAGCATGGCCCCGCCAGCTATATATTGTAGCTGGTCCGGCAAATCCTCCACAAACACCTGCTGATAAGTCTTGAACGGGTACGATGCTCCCAGGGCAGTTTCGAAATACGTCATGGCCGAAGCCAACCTCGATGTGCATTGCACTAAATCTTCAAAACACTCAGGCAGCGCAAAATGCGTCATGAGAGGCATCTCTGGTGGCACGTAGAGCCGAAAAGGGCCGACAGCAAAACCTATCGACGAGCAGTTGGTCTTCGGATTCACCACATATTTAAACGTTCGCCATTGTACTCCATCACTGTCGCTCTCCGGGTTCAGCACTTGCTGTACCATTTGCCCACTGCACACAGCCACGCACCAGTCCGGCACAGTCAGCTCGATTCGGAATGTACAGGCGTCTCGAAGAGTGTCTCGGCACGGCATCCAGGTGCGCGCGCCATCACACAGTCCTCCAAAAGGTCCACAATAAGTATACATATGAGGGGACCTCTTCGGCTGGTACTCTTCGTCCGGCAGCATAAATCTCAGCCCTCCCGTAGGCTCATGAATGTCGTACTCGATCCTCACGACAATTGGCTTATAGCCCGTCGAGCTCTTCGGAAGACGGTCAATGTCCCACGCATCGAATAGCAACGTATGCCCATGACCGGTAGAACTATCCTCTGGTACTGGATCGTCGTCCGTCGCAGCACCGGTAGCCTGTTGCTCGCTTATGTTGCTCGAAGCCTCATCGGTCTCGTCGTCCTCGAGAAACGAAACGTGCTTTGGTATTTCAATGATCAACTCACCTTCTTTTGACGCCACAATAGCGCCGCGGTAGAAGAGGTCAAACGTGGCGACATCGCGGTAGTTCTCGTCCACGACCTCGTCCAGGAAATTAAGTTGCTCGAAAGGTGCCGCGATGCCGTCAATGCGCACGGTCCGCACCTTGAGTTGCCGCGCATGCAGACGGAGCAAACGGAGCTCCGATGCGCGTGGCGCCAGCACAACTTCAGCAACGCCAGTCACGTGTCGGTGTAAGACGTCGACTTGGAGCGCTACGCGCTGCTGCAGGTACTCAAAGTCGCCGATCATCCGGTACAATGGCGAGATTGTCAACTGTGGTCCACATCGACAGAGAAGCGGTTTAGTAAAGTTGCTCGAAGGACCGCCGTCCAGCTGATGATGATGACATATCGTTTATCATCGTAAACATCACAAGTGACATAACTTGCGACGCTTGATATACCTGTTTACCGCTCGAGCCCCTGTCTATACTTTGATACGCTGCATCAACAGCAGATTCGGCGATGTACAATTTCTTGCTTTAGGTAGTCAACTTGTCGTGTGTATGTTCGTTTCCAAGGTATACGGAGTAAGTCCAGCGTTCATCGAGTCAAGTCTTACCATGACCATAAGTAGGCATCAGCGGATTCGACTGCTTTCTATGATCCACCACATGTCGATTATATTGGCCTTACGTCAAGACCAAAGTTTGCTCATGTCACAATCAGTCAGTTGTGGCATGTAAGCTTGCTGTAAGGCAGAGTCTGTGAGTCGTTTGACATTTGCATCGATCGAATGGTAGACGCTGGATGTGGTCCTTCGACAAAGGTTAGGACACCATAAACACCACGAACGACGCAACGTTGGCATACGTAATATGGACAGAGGGGGCAGTACCGTCGGTGATATAGTAACAGACTGAGGTTGATTGTTTGTCGATAACACAGCAGTAGAGACGACTGATAAATCTTTGATGTGGAACGGCGTCATGGATGGCGTCATCTCTTCCAAGCTGCTTCTTGGCTGGAGGAGTAGATGCGCGACCATACGAGCCGCATTAGACACGTCACAAAAGAAATTGTATATGTTTGAATATAGGTTGAGGCCACTCCACCGACGCAGAGAAGTCCTTTGATTTCCCGTTTCGTTACCAGTGCTATCTGTCGTGCCATCGTTCGCTTACAGCATGCGCTCCTCGCCAGCCTTCGACTCGGCGATTTGGTCCAAAATGGGAGCCCTCGGCTTCGTCAGCGTGTCGACGGCTGGAGCTATTATAGCGCCTCTGCTTGCAGACACGACGAGCTCGAGATCGAGTGAATAAATTCACTGCCTCATCAATGGCTTACAGTCAATAGGCGATGAAAGGGATTGCCTGTGCAATCGGTAGCATTGGCGATAAGATAGTGTCTTGTGAATTTAGCGGTATGCGTGAAGGCAATTTGGCGAAGAAGAGGCCGAAAAAGAGCAAAATCGATGGTAAACACAAGCATGGCGAGGTGTCATGATGTGGTCTGCGCACGGGTAGCGCTTGTATGGGCGAGGATAAGCCGACCATATCTGGTTCTTGTATAGCAATCATGCACAAGTATAAAAAGCGGAAACAGCTGAGCTTCTAAATCAAGTGGATAAAAAGATCGCTCGTCGTACAGCGGACGCAGACGCCAAGGAGGTACTCCGACACAAGCAGGAAGAATAGTGTTTGAATCTAGCTATCTATATCGGGTAGACCAGGTTGATGGTGCTCACTTTTGCCTTAAGCGTAGCGAAGCTAGTATAGCTCCTTGCCAGAGGAAGGCTATAGCTCTAAAGCCTATACATTTTTAGACAAGAACTCGGCTAAAAGAGTCAACTAGTTCAACGATCGATGACTTTGAGAGTCAACTTATTCGAGAACAACTCATCGGAGAGTCAACGTAGTTCAGGGAAATGAACGTATAGACTCAGAGAGTCAACAGCTTTACAGAGCAACATTCTGAGAATCAACAGCACAACGTGCTAACGAGTCCATCCAACAATGCAACTAACTCTTTCGGATTTACAAACGAACAGACGTTTATTTGATGTTATAACGGTGGGTTTAGATGTGACAGAATACTTATATGTAAGGTTTAACTCCATACCGGAGTAAACCATGATCAGCAATTATCTACGTGGCTTACAGCGTGTCAGCCCATCTGCCGTAGGTGGTACATCACTGAATTATACAACAGGTACACCACAAAATACGCATATCCATTAACTGCGGCTGTAGCCCCCAAGTGGACGACCGTAACATTAAGAATCTCCTCGTTGGATATGGCATCTGATTTTATGAGAAAATTTCCCGGAAGTATCGGGGTCTTGGGAAGCTCGCGTTTCTGTCGATCGGCTACTATAAATGGCCTGGTCATAACGAACTTTAAGATGAGGTGACCAACGACTTTAAGCATGTACGACTTATTGATTAAGTGATAGATTGATGGGGTTGGCAGAAGTTGTGACGCTTATATGGCTTTTGTGTTTAGCATTTCTCCTCATGCTACATGCACGTCAATTGCATGTAAAGGATAATAAACAGTATTAATTTGGTTTATACTACACATACCACACTGTTTCGGACTACGTGAACTTGACATGCTACATCGCCAAAGATGCTGCCTGGCGCAAGCTCATAGCTGTTAGGTTTTTGTTAAAATGCAGAAAATGTGACGCAATAATTGGACTGAAGTACAACGGTGGTACACTGTGACTGGTACCATTATCGACTAGGTACTTGGACACTGTGATGTTACATGTATAATCATTTTGGTACGTGTCGCTTCAGCTGCCAGATGCATGTTTTAGGCTTTGCCCCATTTGAGGGTAAATTTATACGTTATAAAAACCGCACATGATTTTGTCCTAGTGTTTACTTAAAAACCATCACTTCGCACTTTTACCTGTATAAGACACGTGCCTTGTATACGCGTCATTGACCAATATCGTTAGAAAAAATTGTCAAGCGATATGCTCTGTAGCACTTAGTGCTATTGATTCTGCGAAATGTAGAAGTACCTTCTCCCAGGACTAGAAGCCCAGCGAGCGAAGCATTCTGTTTGAGTTGTGTCTTGCAACGAACAAAGCAGCTCGTTGGGCTTAAAGTCTTCCTTTGACAAAGGAACCGTTATAGTTAATTTCCACAAGTGTTAAGGCAATCCTCAATACAAAGTACGAGCAAAAAACAATGTCGGAATACGAACGTTTATCAATTGTTAAACATATGAAACTAAAATGCTCTTTTTCGGGACTTAGATGTTGCCGAGACCGAGTCTTAGTCATCAGTACATACATATTTACAAGTTATAGCTGTATTTTTCCATACAAGATCTCTACTGAATAGTTGTGTGAAAATACAGACAAATTAGAAGTGAGCAGAAACCGATTTGTTAAGCTGCTAATTCACAATAGTTGCGATTATTTGTGCCAATAAAGCAAAAGAGAAAGTATCGATGGTGGTGGCACAAAGTCCTAAATTTGCACCCGGCTAGCTTGGATACGATAAAGTTTATCGGAGACCGTCACTTCTGGGAGGTTCGACTAAATTTGTAATTACTGTTTAATAGTTGCATCCGTCGACCACATAAAACAAAGCCGTTCGTGGCATTACGAAACTATAGAGTCGGAATAAATCGTCAACGGTTGTTTTGCTAACTGGACCTGAGATGGTAGATTGAGAACAAAATGGTCATAATCTAAAGATCCTAGTTATCTCTGTGTCCGTTACTTTCAGTTTCTCCTACGAAAGTTACTTGTAGTAACTCGTTCATCACAATGGTCGTGTACCGTTATCATCAGGCGCACCCGTTCACGTCATAAATCGTGCTGTTCAGCATCACGAGTCGCGTCCCTTCAAAATTCCTAGTCGTTACTCTTCTAAACTGACGCTTTCAGCTTTTGTGTGTAATAACAAAGGGCCTCGAACTTTAAAATGAGTTTGCCTCACGAATGAAATTCCTACATTCGTGTCACATACATGTTGATTGAGACATCAGGTGTGGACATGGAAACGCTTGGTTGTCACTGAAATCGCTCCTCCTTGGCTATAAAACGGCATTTGATCGGTACATGTTGATATCGACTTAGCTCTGACGGATGTCGTCAGCTACACATCGCTCTTCAAGCTTCACACTACAGGTATATATGAACGACGTCAGATGAGCGTTTGCATGAAAAAGAACAGAATACAAAAATGCACACGCAGGTCACATCTTCGTCTCATACCTATTGTAAGTCCAAATTGGATACCTAAATTACGAATGATAAGATTGCAAAACGAACAAGGGTATATATATACCCGTGAATAAATGTGGACATTTGTGTCAAGTCCGACGAGTTGATGTTTGCCGCGTCTCCACGTCGGCTGCAATTTTTTAATATAACAGTGTAATTAGCATGCCACAGTTGCTATAGAATGGATGTTTTGCAAGAGTGGAAAGCGGCAAATTGCAACGGTTGTTCAGATGGTCGTACGCAGCGTATTCAGACGTAGATCAAGTTATAGTTTATTTGCTCTGGTCCCGGTATTTTCCTAATATGTGCAATCTATAACAGCCCATTATTTCCATTTTCTTCTCTGATTTACGAAGATAAATTCTATCACACGCTGTAATTGCCAGTAAATTAAAGCATGATCAATTGAAACTGCGTTTGTGACTGATGAAATAGTGATGTTAGAAAAGTGGCAATAATGTTATAATTCTTTATTTTTGTGAATACACATATCTGTTATGCTCAATTGACACGTCCTTGTCTTAATTTCGTCTATCTGAAGCCGCAAATGCATGATCGTGCTCCAGGTGGCCAATTAAAATAACAGAAAACGCTTTTTGCACATCAAAGGTTAAGTAATATTTTTTAACTTATGTAGCATGACCGGGCACAATATTGTGGTTTTGTTTGGGCAATTTTGTCCAATCATCTCGAACAAGATAAATTGCATAATAAGTACGTATATGCAAGAGGATCTGATAGTGACAACTATATTCAACAACAAATTTAATATATTTCTTCTCCCTTCCTCATGGCTTCCACAGTATATTAGCACATTCGTAACTATATTCCACGAAGTTTAATGTTATTCGTAACGGGGACACTCCGTTATATTTTGTTGAGCTTTGACGACACATGTAAAAATATTAGCTAAGGATACACAGCATTCAAATATGGGTATATAAGAGCTAATATTATGTTGTAAAATCAAGCTAGCGCAATTGGCAACGTGGTAAAATATCTAGATCAAGGTCCTTAGGTCGCAGTCTCTTTGCTAGGACAAGCTTATTAGTTTTTCTGAA